CCTTTTTCAAATTGAGTTTTCTACTATCTATTGGACTTGCGTCCGTCTATTTATTAGTATCTATTTGGCAACGCAACGCAGCGTCTGAATTTAGTAATTAATTTGTCGTCATTTACTGCACTCACCGCGCAATTATAATTACTATTTACTTGCGTTTACAATTTAGTATCGGGTTTTCTATAATTTCAACAGTTTATGTTGTTACTTTTTTTTTCAAATAATGCTCTTATCATTTTAAAATAATAAAAAATTTTTTGGTTGTAATCTGAACATTCGTATGACAATACAGCACAATTAGTACATAAGATCTGTACGAACCAAATTTCTTTATTATTATAATCTTGATAAAAAAAGACAGACTTTTGCGTCTCGGATTTTTTTATTGTTCTCAAGTGTAATAACCCATTATTACATACGATAATAAGCGTAAGTCAATAGCGATCTAAATCTATACTTACCAGTTACCTGCTTGAGTCACATACTACATGACATGCCAACTTTGCTTTTACTATTACCCGAGAAGGTATACTAACCTACTATTACCATGTGACAATAATAATGACATATTAATATATCTAAAAGTATTGTAGAGAAATAAAAAAATATTTCCGTTGCCAAATTTTATGTAAAGCAGACGTCAACTAACTTTCAAACATTCTGTTTACGTATCATTTACTGGAAAACCAAACAACGAGAATTATTTTTACTTTATTACACGATATGTAAAGATTTACCAGATTTGTAAAATGTTTTCAGAACAAGCAACATACATTAATTGCTTTAGAGTATGTCTAACCTCAGTGATGAATCAACTCCTCACATAATCTCGCTTTTATAAGCAGTTCAAGAAAAAACAGGCGTATAATAATTGTTGCAACAGGAAAAGCACTGCATTTCATGTGACTTCCGCATACTGTCTAAAATTATTGACATGCGTGACTAAACTGTGAATTATCCAAACACAAGACAGCGCGCGTATTGGGGTAATTGTAATGAGCTTTCTCTTGACCGTCAGCTCACAGGAAGTAAAAGTATAGGGCTTGGTCTCCTCTCCTGCTACAGCTAAACATACTTCTCCTCCCGAACAATTATACAACGTTAAGCTATCTTCGTTTGTTATGCTTTTCGAGATAAAAGTTTACATGCCAAAATTCATGTTCGTTTCCAAGGGCAATCCGCAGAGGGAATTTCTTTTACGAAAACGGCAATCGCTTTTTTACGCTGAAATCCGCTTTAGCGCAAAAAAGGGTTCGCGGTATCAATATGTGATCATAAAGGAACAGTTACTGAGAACATACCTTTACAAATTGAAAAGGGTTCGAGATTTTTTGATTAAAAAAAGCGCTTTGCTCTAAACTAATGCATTGCGTATTTCATTCCTTTTTACTTGTTTTCTTTTGGCTATATTTTTGTAGGAATACCCGGATGTCAAAAGCGATTAAATCCATGTTTGAAGTATTAGATAAAATCTTTCACCAAACAGTTTAAATACTGCAAAGATTGTACGGCTAAGTTGGAATTAGAAATTTTATTTCTCAAATACAAAAGAAACGATTTGGGGTATCAAGATAAGCCACAGTCCACTATGTTACACAATGACGATTTACATTGCTTATATGCATTGCAGCATTGTCGCTCAATAACAAAGTCTTATTACGACCCGAGAACACTTTGGAACCGTAACGAAATGAACAACGTCATTGATTTATCCTCCATCCTTTCAACGGATTATGAGAAATTATACGAAAGTGGCAGATATACTGATATTTCAATCCATGTTGGAAAGGAGCCAGACAACAAAATCTTTCTCGCTCATACGTTGGTTTTATGTACTAGAAGCACGTTGCTTGAGAATAACTTAACAGGAGATATAGAGACGACCGAAGCGGTTCAAAAGACAGCAATAACATTTGAAGATGTGAGTCCAGACGTTTTCGAATTGTTGCTCAGGTAAGATCATAAATTGTCAAAGTGATTTGTATAATTATATGTATTAATATGTCACATGATGTGAATGTTAATACGGATTTAACAATTCATGGCAGGTACATTTACACCGGGCGAATATCTTATGATTCAGGAAAGAATATTGATTGGATCAGTCTTTTGGATGGAGCAAACAAGTTTAGACTCCTTGATCTTCTCACTGGCATTGAAAATCATTTGATTGATAGACAAAACGAATGGATCCAACAAAATATCATTACAGTTCACAAGTATGCTGTGTCCATGGCCTCTTTAAACAAACTCTTGGATCATTGCAATCAAATTATGGTTTCTCATCCTGACGCTATCTTTAAATCAAATGATATTGCAACCTTACCAAAGGAGAGTTTGATCACTCTGCTCAAGAATGAAGAGTTAGACATAGATGAAGATGATATCTTGACATCAGTCATTCAATGGGCTACTAAACAAGTGCCGGGACTAGAACTGAATGACATAGATAATTGGTCATCTAATGATCTCAAAACAGTCAAAGAGTTCCTAGCAGATTGCATTCCCCATATAAGATTTTTCTGTATTTCTTCTGAGAATATTATGTTGTATGAGAATTTGTTACCCAAAAAGCTACGAGATGATGTTCTGATGTACCGTTTGAAAAAAGATTACACACCAATCACTCACATGTTACCACCAAGAACTGGACAAGAACCTGATATTGATTCTGTTGTTATTAACAAAAAACAAGCAAAATGGATCTCATCAAAGATTGTGGAATCAACAAGGAGGTTATCCCAAGAAAATCAAAGGACGTCTATGAAGTGTGATACTTATAAATTTACTCTACTTTATAGACGAAGTAGAGATGGCAATACAGTTGCAAAATTTAGAGAATTGTGTAATAACAAAGGACCCACAATTACTGTCGGGAAAGTGTTGGGCACTGAAGAAATACTTGGTGGATATAATCCATCTGCATGGGGTGCCCACAGTGGTTGGTTTTACACTAAAGAAAGCTTTATATTTGCATTAGATAAATGTGAAGATGAAAATATAGTAAGTTTTTTTGCTGATAAAGATAAGTATGCCATTTGTGATGATTATAATCATTTTCCTCAATTTGGGGGTGATTTATACTTTGGACAGGCTATTGGTAATAGGCCCTGGGCTGGGCAACAGTCATACCAAGTTCTACTTAGGCATTCACCAGACCCATTTGAGTGGGATGATTGGGAAGTGTTTCTAGTTGCAAAACTTTGATTTAATTTTGAGAATTGTTCATAATTTATCAATCTTATACAATTAAAGGAAATTATTACTTGTGAAATTGATCATATCAATAATTGTATAACATTAATGCTGTATAAACTAACATGCCCGAATTTTGTAAGATAAATACAATAATTACGAGTGCAGATTATGCTTTGTGATGTCGCATCAACAATCACGTCTTCGAGTCGATTGCCAGCTTTTTTCGTAGTTAATTTAGTAGTCTACCAGTTGCGGTATTCACGTGTTATAAATTACTGTGGGACAGGAGCGATTATTTATATTATTAGTCGGCATAGATCGCGGTTCAATATTCGACGGCTATATATACCAGAGAAGGTATTACATAATTAATTGATATTTATTAGCATAAATATATACCAAAAATATTTCCCGCTTTATTCTGAAAACGTATACTTACTGGTTTAGTTATATTATTTATCAGATAAATATTATCATACGGACTAAAATCTGCTTTTTGTCGTCAATAATGCCACCAACTCGACCATCAGTTAATCTCACACAGGCAAGACATAGACAAATGAATACATGTGACAACAATTAAATTATTCTTCAAACTTTATCTTGACAACGCAACAGACTTGGTACAATGTCATGCCTCGGTATACAATTTTCTATATGTATAAAACTTTTATTATTGGTACAAGTCAAAATTTGTCAGTTCAAGAAAAACGCTTTGACTTAGCTGCTGTAAACATTTGATGGTTTACCGCTTAACAGAACATTAATTATCAAATTAAAAAATATTGTCATGCGTATAAAAAATAGAATATCGATATTATTCATATAAAGCATTTAATTAGATAATAATTTTTCCTTTTAAACACCGAAAATACGTCACATTGATTAATATTCTAATTGTGCAACAAATTTATTTATCTCCATTTCGAATGCTGCAGATTTATCACGATTACAACTACTGAGGAGGGGAGACAAAGCCTTTTGATTATGGTTTTTCTAGTTACTGGCACAAATGTGGGGTAAATAATTTATATTTTAAATCACAGAAATTAGTGTTACTAAAACTTTTTCAATTACTATCAGGCTTCATATATTTCGTTGAGTCGCAAAGTTCCCGTCACGTGTCAAATGGCAAGCTTGTGTAATGACGCTAAAGAAGGTTAATTTATTGATTTATGCCTTAACAAAAATATAACACTCGATGAATATTAATACTTGCAATGCAACCAAGCGTCATTGATGGTTTAATACGGTTTTCTTGCATTAAAGTGTATGCGAATACCACATATTAGCATACTGTTTCATTGTTCTTCCTTTTTCAGAATAGCGGAAAGCGAGACGGTCCAATCGCACTTTTAAATGCTCGATATTTTCACGTGATATGTGAAATTACAGTGTAAGTTTTTACATGTGTTACGCATTTTTTCAGCCCTAGTTTTTGTCACACGAATATAAAGTCCCACTGTATTGTTGAATACTTTATGCATTGACCTTGTCAGTTCCCGAACGATGTCGTCATCATGACGGCAATCCATTCTACTCACCGACAAAGAAGGAAAGAAGCTGTCAGAACCATATTCTTATAAGCCAACCTCATGCATAGACTTTTTTAACTCTGATTGTGCTACTGTTGTATTCAGCAACCGTCATCTATCTTCTTAGATATAAAGACCAAACTTTAATTGCAGGGGAAGAGCGCTCGAATTCTCCTTCTTACATTTTTCCAAGTAAGAGATTCCAACCTTTAATAACAATACAAAGAAAGAGAGACATCGAATGCTCCACTGTCATCTTTTTGATAAACCATGGACTCGTACCCAGAAACAAAACAAACTACAGAAGGTGTGTCGCAACCGTCGCAGTATGAACCGCAACCCGCAATGAGTGTACCCCAAGAGCAATCACATGTTGTTGTGACTAGTCGTCAAGGACGTTGGAAAGCTGACCTATTCGACTGCTTCGCTGTCCCCGGACTCTGCATCAAAACCTGCTGTTTGCCTTGTGTCACATACGTAAGTCAAAAAGTAACAGGGAATAGAGTACTGTACATCCGATTTTTTTCATTGTACTAATTTCCAAATTTTTACAGGCCGAAATCAAAGAGAAAATGAGCAACAACTTGGGTTTTCGCATAAATGCTTGGTGCCACTTTTGTGCATTGTGCGCAGGCTTTGCCTGTTGTCTTGAGACTATGACACGCGCTGAAATTCGTCAGCAACAAGGAATCAAGGTAAGACTTTCGTGTGTATGTCTCTTTTTAAATAATAATTTGTTTGTTAATTTCTATTTATTGCATTTCATTAGGGTGATTTTACCGAAGACGTTTGTACACATTGTTGGTGTGGATGTTGTGCTTTGGTCCAGGAACACCGTCAATTCTATGATGACGAATAAATTTTTTCCTAATTATGCAATTCATGCTTTTTTTGGTTTCATCTTCTGAAAGGGCAACGTAAAGTTGCATAAGACTTTCTATCGTTATGGTTGATTTTATGTGTTGAATTTTGAAATAAAAAAGTTAAAAGCATGGATCATTTGATGGTAAATACTTTTTTTAAATCTACATTTGGCTCTGTTTTTGCGTGTTTAAGTTTGGTCTTTGTATTATGCATATATGCGCAAGAGTCATTGCGTTTCGCGAAGGAGCGTACGTTATATAATATGTCAATTACGTTTGGAAGATATGTAACGGTGACATCTGTTTTGCGGAACTTTAAATAAAATTGTATAAACAATGTATTTATACACTATTACTATATAAATGTAGATGATAAGAGTATGCACAATTAATATCCGTTGCTTATCTATTTTTTACAATATCTCTAAACCCCTGACATTAACTGAAAAGCGTGTCGCTAGAATGTGAATAATTCGTAGCACAACTAGTCTGTGTGTGATTCGTTAAATAATGCTCGATGTATCAACGCACAAGATTAATTTAATTATTTCGAAACAGAACATTAAAATGGTTTATTGAGTCAAACTATTTGACATAGCATTGATAAGTATTTGAAGTAATTGAGGAGGAATAAACTTGCGTAATTTATGAGTAAATCATAAATTACAAGCCTCGAGTTACTGTGTTTAAGAAACAAATTTTTTATTAATATCTATATTGACTTTGACTTGATCCGTGCTGGGTTTTGATAAATAAAGCACATATTTGAAAAACAGAAAGAACTCGTTTATCTGTTGCTTCCTTGATGTGTTTACTTAATATTATAATAATCATAGTTAACACCGCTGTAACTTTTGACTTATCTTTAAATGTACACTATGAATGGTAACTTGCGAAATTGTGGGTCACGTCTTTCGCAAAATATGATGACGTTTGTTTCGAGTTTATCTGGCAGTGAGCAAATTGCGACGTTTAAATAATTATACTTTTATTTATTAATCAATGGACGCGTCAATCGATAACAGTATTGAGGTTATAACTATTACCAGTAGTACATAAATACTGTGAGCTTATTTTGTTACAGCAAAACGCTGGGACTGTTTAAACATCTGTTAGTGAAAAATATTATACTGGTACATAAAAAATTGTCAACCAACGTTATGCCGGTTAATTGATTGAAAAAAAACTACCGGTAAAGTATTTAGAAAATAATTGTAATTGAATGCACAATATCTTATACAACTATATTTACACCGCATTCTTTCCCATGCCAGCATTTTTAGCCTTTTGCTCTGTTCCGATTCTCTGTAGTGTGTTATAAGCAATGTTGCGATTCTGCTGTGTGGTTTTTTTGTTGTAGACTACTATCTGTTGCAATCCGTTGTTACCGACGGTTACCATTTCATGGTCTGTTGTCGTGATCTGTTATCGTATCATTGTTTTATGCGTAATAATTAACCGATTATTATTATCAATACGCTACATGCCGAATATTCTTTATCGCGGAATGACATAATGCGTAACATATTGTAAAATGGAGACCTCGTACAGTATCTTGTAAAGATCAATCCGTGTGGGGTAGAATGGATAAAGCCGATGATGTATTAAAAGTATCTTTATTTATAGTCTGCAAGCGAGAATAAATCCAAGACATTATGAGACATTTTTCAATAACCGACATATTGGCAAAATGTTATAAATTTAAATTAATTTATATTTACGGAAAAAGTAAAATGTCTATCGTTTAGCTAAATTACACGTACAACCCTTCACAAACTAGGCAATTCACAAATTTTGCACAAAGACTGTCCCATCGCCTTCAAAAAAAAATTAGACCAATTGTTCAGTGATGACTATAATCAATCTCCTTGTCTTCCGTGCGTATATTGGAAAACCGTTATATTCGGAAAAGGCTTTTTAAATTACGCAAAAAAGTTTACCAATTTACTCCTAAGTTAGAGCTTACACCAATCAATTTTATTTGATCATATTGCGCGTACTAGTTACGATAAGCAGACTCCCAACTTGCCCACTCCTGTAAAAAACAGAATAATTTACTGCTAAGATGCTACAGAGTCAATAATTCAACGCTTAATCTTCTTTCGCCTTTCATCATCGTTTTATTGCTCCTTCTTCTCTTCTTGTTTTTTGTTGTAATTAATAATTTCTTCCATTATTCATTGACTTTTTAAAAATAACAAAGTCGATCATTAAATCTTTTACAACAACCCTATAAAATGTTTGAACGACAATAACTATTTTACTACTGCAGTCAATTATTCTCTATTCCATTCACACCTCCATATGGTCATTACTTTACATGAAAGATAGTGAATGGAATCGATGAACGAATTGCGCATAATATAATTCTAACCATCTCATTGATACATTCATACTTAATATAACATCCGAACAAGCTTTAGATACATAACTGCTTATAATCAAAACATTAAAAAAACTACCACTGCACTTATATAACCGCACCGCATCTACCGAGCTAACCAAAGCCAAATAGAATCTAAACAAAATGCTACCTCCATTACAAACATTCCAACAACGAAAACCCTAAAATTATCCGGACGACGGAATATCAAATACAGCGAAGCGTATCTCAAGCAACGCTAGTTTTGCATAACAGTTCAGCAAACTATTTTAAAATAAAGTCACAACCATCAAAACTTTTCAACACCCCACGTGGTTATATAAAAAACACACACTAAAAAAAAACGCATTTTTGTGGCATACTGCAAGTAAGAACTCTACAAACACCTCTTACAAGGTGAAAACGGACGTAATATAGGTATATCAAAGGCGTCGCAAAGTTTCGTTGGTGCCAAGGAAGATGTGCAATGTAACACAATGTAACACATGTAACACAAACATTGTAAATCATTTTATTTGTGTACTTGAAATTTCTAAGATCCTGTAAAATCGAAATTTCTAACCCAAACTGTTACCATGTCGTTAGCATCAGAGACTGTTGCCAACTTGGTTAAATCTTCCTGCTTAATATGGATTCCTTACAATGAAATCACCGACGTAAGGTCCACTCAAATTGACAACGTTTACCACGCTCTTCACAGACATGATTATAAGAGGATAACGCTAGTATTACTTGGAAGTAGTGAAGAATGCACAGCAACGCTTGTGAGCGAGTTTGCTAAATTATACTCACTTCCAACACACGAGTATAACAGTGACGTTAATCAATTCACAAGATACTCCCTATGGCTTTCTTATCGTAACAAACACATAAAGGGTTTTACAAAGTCTTATGACGATAGCTATTACATGGTTGCTGATGAACGCTTTTACCATTATTACTCTCGATATGGCTTCTGCTCCACATGTGGAATACTTCGATGTAGTCCCGTGTGGTGCATTTGTGGTTATAAACAATTATCCGATGGATGGACTAGCAACAATCACCAACTCGATGAGCTTATCAAGAAATCTCAGTTACAAACGAACTCACCAAATGACGCCTATTTGGAATGGATCCCATTCGATTGTATTGGTGATGATATAAACATGAATTATGGTCTACCTACTGATGAACACACTGAATTGATTCCACTTGAGATAACAGACGAGTCACATGATTTATATTACGCTGAGGTAAACTATTTACTTATGCGTCATGTTTATTGAACAGTTTACATAATTATTGACTTATTATTTCCACTAGTTATCTGATAAGCATCCTGATATTCTTAACACGGATGTTTGGGTTACCATCGGATTTACAGATTGGCGACAACGACAGTATTATCTAATAAAAGCTAGATGTGGATTATGTCTGGCGTGTACAAATCCACTAGAACCCAAGATAAATGTGTTCTGTTTCAGATGTAAAGCGTCAACACCTTTTAATTGGACGACTGGCAACAAGTCATTGGATTCATTTATTATAGAGTCGTGGAGTAATACAGAGAACGTTTATGATGCGTATATACAATGGATAGAATATTCTCTATTAACAAATGTACAAGAGATGACACCACTGCGCCATGGATGCACGCATATAGCAGAATGGAATAAATTGACCCGTGTAACACTCAAAAAATTAGTTGACAAACAAAACGATGAGCCACTTGATTTTCATCAGGTAAATTATCGCACATAATCGACAAGTGTGTGGACCGTATGTTTGATTGACCAGTGTTTAATGTATTCTGTTTACTCAAAATAGTTAACTAAGGAATATCCGATGATGTTAACACCTGATAATATTTGGATAATTGGAATCACTCGGGAGCCATCTACTCGGGAATATTATTTAGTTTTCTATTACGACGTATATGAAATACTGGACAGTTTTATACAAAGTAACAATCTTGTTAAATACATGCAGTATAGCGACTTTTATGAACTCAAAGAGATTGGATCTGGTGGTTATGAAACAGTTTATACTGCCAAGTATAGAAGGTATGCAGAACTACGGAATATGAAACAAACTGTTGTGCTCAAACGATTTAAAAATTTTGATGAAATACCGGAACTATTTATTTCCGAGGTAAGCAACAATTGGTACTAGTACTATTAATTAAATTGATATTTAAGCTGACTCTATCACAATTTATTTAATAGTTCAGAAATCATGCCAAGTGTTTAATCAGAACTCATATATTCCTTGATATTTATGGAGTGACACAAGATCCAGAGACAAAAGAGTACATGATTGTTATGCAGTATGCTAACAATGGTAATCTTTTGTCATATTTGGATCAAAATATTAACAAATTGACGTGGTTGGATAAATTACTGCTTTTGAAAGAGATTGCATGGTATCTGGATAATATTCATGAAGTGGGATTAGTGCACTGTGATCTACATGGTGGAAGCATTGTTATAAATACCGATCCGGATAATGAGATAGACTCATATATATGCAATTTTGGTCTCTCGCGGTCAGTGAATTCATACGAGTCAAACCCAAGCATTCGAGGCGTTTTGCCATTTATTGCACCGGAAGTCTTCCAAACCCGCGAATTTA